CCCCGGTAAGGACAACAGCGCGTGTTCGTTCCCTACTGCATACACCTGTGGTCCGGAGTTTTGCAAATATCTCAGCACTTCATACGAGTTATATTTCACAACATACCCTGCCATTAAGAAGAAAAAGGCAGTAAATAAAAGAGTTAAGATTGACATTAGTGTTAGTAGTAATGCTAATGCTAATTTTAATATCAATGTTAGTACTAATACTAATGTAATAATGTAATGTAGTACTAATATGTCTCCTAGTAGAAAGATTGTAGCAGATAAGGATATTACGACGCAACCATACACAGTACACGTTTCTCAGTGTTTTCAGAATGTGTGTCATTGTGAAGGCTACAAATTTTCGTCGTGTTTGTGAACAAAACGTGTGTATGGTAGGAAGTGTACTGAATGGGTATTGTGCGGCTGATCACTGATGGTTGACATCATCGTGATTGGACAGTGGAGGAGACTTTATTCATCACAAAATAGATTAACATATATTCTACAAATATATACAGCAAATAGAGGAGCATAAGATAAAAAAAGGCGCGTGTAGGGCAGTGGTTAGAGGCGCCCTGTAATGCCCATGGGATTGCTCCCACATCCCGGCTCACCAAGCCTTCCGTCTCTCTGTGGTGTGTAAATTGGTACCAGACTTGTCTAGGAGGATTCCACTACTCAATCTGTACATCGGTGGGTCGCAGCGAGTCATTATAAAAGCCAGATATGCATTCAGTCACCTCTAACGGTACTTAGTGAAGTCCTTTCCATGGCGCATCTCTCGGAGTTTGTTCAATGCCGCGAGCTTTATCCCTCTGTCCCGTAAGGTATATAGAATATGAATATTGCTGTGGAAAATTGTAACCAGAGGTGTTGGGTTATTTGTTGAGGTGCAGAGTGGCCTCCAGAAGTCTTGTTCAGTTCACAGTTTATGCAGTCAGCAAATGTCATGGTTCCACGTCTCAGCCACACAGAATTATGCCTTGAGCTGTAAGTCTTAAATTAGGGCGATGAAAACTTTTCAGAATAAAAAGACAGGTGTGCTGTGCTGAAAAGTGCTATCAATACAAAATTTTGTGCAACCTCTTTTTTTGCTCCAATAATTAGTCTTATAGAATTGTTTTGTTCACCGTTTTTTTATTAATTGTCAAATTATTTATGTTAATTGTTTATTTATTATTGTTTTATTTGTTAATTAAAGTTTCACGGATTTTTTAGTTGTCTGTTGTCCGTTCCACAGTGCATAATTTGAGTGGACGGTGATTGCAAAAATGAATATGTTCACTTCAGGAGAAACTGCACAGGATCTGCTGAAGCGACTTGCTTCAAACGGCAATCTTCCCTCCTTGCAAAAGCTTGTCGCTCGGCATACTTCAGAACCATCTGCAATTGACCAGGTGCTTACCTTTCTTACCAACATTGATTAGTAGCATGAGGTTTTTTACTTTGTTGAAAATACAAAGTGTTAGCTAAGCCAAGATCTATGATGACTGCGAAAGTGAAATTTATATTGAAGAGTTAAAATACCCCATCTTAAAATCATATAGTCCTTGAAATGTGCTGTCTAAGTGTAACTTTGTTAAAAGCTTTCACTTTTAGCCATAATTTGAGTTAAATATTGCAGTGACCTTAGCTCATACGCCCGGTATGGACACTAAAAGGTTCATTTTGAGTTTATTGCATTCCAGAATTTTTTCAGTGCACATTGTGTATTTATTCGGTAAGTAATCGAAAGCAGATCAAAGAATGGTTTACTAAAATTTTTCCCCGAAAAAGTTTGTTGACTGGTGGTTTGTTAATAGTTATCCGTTATTTCATCCTGATCATCATTGTATGGAATGTGCGGATATTAAAAACGTAATAAACTCAGTATATGGTGAAAATTTCTCCAAAATGATGACAGCAGTTTATATGCAAAATGGCCATAGTAACACGGAGGAAATAGTAGCATAAATATCATTCATACCCATAGAACGATGGAGCATTCTACAATTCTGTCGCGTTCACAACTGCTTAAGCACTCTAGTCATTAAAAGGTTATTTTTTATCGTCAGAAAACCAGGAAACTCTTTAGTTTCTGCTGTTGGTCTCATATTTGAGCGTCTAATAGGAGGACGTAGAATTTATTGGAGGAAAACGCGTGCGAGACTTGTGATTCATATCCATAATTATTTTCACAAGCTCGAAAGACCGACTTTCTATAAACCTCGGCATAGATAGTTGATATATTTATTTATATGACCTCATAAATTGATCTTAAGCTGACGCGAGGTTGGCACAGGTCTTCGTTGTCGTTGTCGTTGTCGTTTTGATGTTGTTGGTTGATGGTTGTTTCGGCGACTTCGCCTTCCTCAGAGCCGTGATATTACGTGTGAGACTCAACGAAGACCTGTACCAACCTCGCGTCAGCTTAAAGAGATCAGTTTATAAGATCATATAAATAAATATATTTTCACAAAGTTTCAAACCGATTCTTAGAGCTTAGTGACAAATTAAATCGCTGTGCCATACCAAGGGAAGACTCCATTGATGGAGTAGTTGATTGCGGAAAACCCGAAACATGACATGTGGTACCAAAGGAAGACTATGTTGGTGGAAATGGTTCAGCAGCAGTTCTATGGTTCAGGTACTATGACGTAGTCAAGCTAACTTTTTTTCCATATCATGCACGCAGTTACGGCCATGACTTTGCTCTTCCATATTACCGAGTATATTTTCAGAAGCAGTTCATTTTTTTTTGTTAACTGTCAGCTACCTGTTCAGATGACCCAGGAGGATACCACTCCACAGGCAATATAGAGTCTTCTGGTGGTATTCGAGCTATTTCAGTAAACGGGTTACATGGTAGGATTAGCAACTTTATGATATTGCAACTGTCAGGATGGTTAGTTTGAGATCTTGTTTGTAATCTCTTCGTTATTCGTGATTCTTTATCGTGGCTAGTACCGTATTCTGTTGTTCTCTTAGTGTTTGCAGCATTTTTAAATCCTGTATATATTCATCGAACTCTTGATGTGGTTACCCTTTATGCTCAGATTTTGCACCACTTTTGTGAATAGACTCTGGTCACACTCATATACCCGTGATCTATTTTAATTTGTCTTATATGTTTGTATATTTACATATTAACTTTACAGTCTTGTTTTAGCTCGTGTATGCTGCTTTTGTCTTGTTTCACTGCTCTATTCTTCCTTTATCTTTAGCTTTATCGTAGTCAGATGCTAATAGTTACCTTTGGTTTATGCTTGTATTATTTCATTCATATTTGCAGTTATTGATACCAGTAATTTTAAATTTGTACGCTACTGATGCGTCCATCAATTTTTAACAGTACACCCTCTCCACTATTCATGTACTGTTCGTCTCCATATTTCTGTGGTTCGTATCCCGAACGCAATAGCATAAAGAGTTTTTATTCTCTGTCTAGAGAAAATTTCCCGGTTCATCTTTGAATTCTCACACTGGAGAATCTCTGTGAAGTCAATACTTTCCGTACCAATAAATTGTGTCTATTTTCTGTGTACTTCTTTTACATCTGTTATGGTTGGTGTTCCATCTACTTATGAACATATTCGAGAGCATGCTTGATTTTCGAAAATCATGGCATGGGCCTACCATATACTCATCCAGTGGGCCATGATTCTAAGCAGAGGCGTCGGAACTCCTCAGCAACTGAAGTATTTCATATTACTCGATATTTAAGATCATAGCTTCTGCTAGCTTTCGATAAGCTGAGGCCTTGATAAACTAAGAGAATGAGTCACGTCATGAGCTGAAAGCATATTACTGTCCCTAATACAAATTCAGTTCCACGATCAGATTCTGTTGTGCTGTCCATCGTTCACTGTTCAGCTTCAGGTGTATGTTCGACTAAGGAATACTCAGTGTGTTCTTTCGACAAGTACGAATAGGATGGGCTTCTCCGCTCGAAGTCCTCAAGAGAAGATTTTTACAGATGCGTATAGATTCCTTTCTTCAACCTGTAAATAGAATAAGTAGGTAGTCGCTGAGCTACATTTGTAGTTTCGGAAGCGTAACTGTATCTGCACTGCAAACTTCTGCGAGTTTAGTCGGTTGTATCCACAAATGGAATGAAAGTCTTGTCAATACACACCTTAATGAAGAGCTGTATATTCAATTTCTACTCATGGGTTCCATTGGGGTTTGATGTCGGTCAAAGATTGACCTGTCTACGAAATGTAGGTTAGATAGCAGGCTTTCAAATGTGTTTCTTGTAATAACCACTGCTGCAGCAGGATCATATGCAGGAGGAGTATTGGAATTCGAGTGATTTCTTAGCGGTAATAATGTAGGAATACCAATCCTAAGGCAAAGGTCGACCCGACTGGTGTTCTTGTCTGATCAGTAGTTCTGCGTTCTCTCTTATAATCTGTATATATTCCCGTTCACAAGGATTTCCCAAATGTCTACCTTGAATATTAAAATCGTCCATCCACATCAGTCGGGTCCATTCACCAGATAATCCAGTGGTTGTGGAGAACCACACTGTTTGACTACCCATCATTCCAACTCATGGTCGATGTCATCACTCATTTTCACCTGCATCAAATTCTTCGACGGTGAGCACTGGGTTCATCATCTCTGACTTCTTAACTGTCACTTTCGATGGGGAGCCGGTTGAATATCGTTCGTTCACCTACGTACATCTTTCAGGACTGTAGAATTCTATTCTTAACCAGTAAATTTAATCTAAAGTCATAAACAACTTCTTGATAGTAAGATATAGAGAATAGATAATAGGTAGATCCTTTGACCAATAGAGGAAAGTCTATTCTGTAACTTCTTTAGCTTCCAAACTCTAGATGTTGCTTCACTTATCGTCTGCTTAAATTTACGCGTCAGAGGTTATGTATTAAACCACACTTTTGGTCTCCTACTTTAAAAATTCTGCCCTAACTCCGTATACGTAGTTGTTGATTACTGCTAGGTTATATTTCATAGGATAAACTAGAATGTTCTTACATGCAGCGTTTCCCATATTTTTCAGAAGGATGATGGTCCCCAAATGGCGTTGTCCACTGATGTTCACCTGGAGGTTCTGTTCAAACAGACGCAAATTGAGTTCCGGTTCCGTTGAATTGGCATTTACTAGATATGGTGATCCAGATCAGGATCGTCTACGATCCCCTCTAGTTATTTGCCATGGGCTTTTCGGACAGAAGGAAAATTGGCACAGTGTAGCAAAAGCGTTGCAACAAAGGCTGGGTTGCACTGTGTACACCTTAGATCTTCGAAACCATGGCCAGTCACCGTGGAGTGACGTAATGAACTATGACGAGATGAGCGCTGATGTGGTGAAGTTCATGGAATCAATATCCAAACAATTTGATGTTCCCAAGTTTCATTTGCTTGGTCATTCAATGGGTGGTCGAACTGCAATGCGACTGGCGATTGAGCCATCGTGGCAGCATCTCATCGACCAACTCATCATTGAAGACGTCTCGCCGAAGACATATGACAAGGATTTCGGAATACATATGGGCTTTCGCAAATATATTCATGCAATGGCAGCTATGGATTTGCGTAAAAACCGTAAAGAAATTCTCAAAGAATTTGAGGTTGTCGTACCAGATCTGGATGTTCGACAGTTTTTGCTGAAGAATCTGGTACCCAGTGAGCTACCAAATCAGTTTCAGTGGCAGTGTAACCTTAGGGGGATCGATAAAAATCTGGAGGTCCTTCTTAGGTACACATTTCCAGCTGGGTCGTTCCAAGGTCCAACGCTGTTTTGCTACGGTGAAAAATCAGATTATGTGAAGATAGCTGATCACGACCAAATTCGATCCATGTTTCCGAGTGTCTCCATTAAAGGAATTGCCAACGCTGGACATTGGATTCATGCTGAACAGCCAACAGTTTTCATAGATACTATTTGTCGATTTCTTCACTGATTCTGAGTTCAAGTGATTTTACGGAAAGCGAAGATCATGTGTGGTTCTACGCCAGTGCGTTTCGGCTGTTCGTGTGGACCGTGTATGATCTTCTGTTTACTTTTCCCTATGTATCCGTTACCATTACTGGTTTGTCATTAACTTATTGAAGACATGTATTGATGGAATTGGTCCATTTCTCGGAATAAATGTCGATTCTTGCTTTTAGTTCTATCAAGTCGTACGTTAGTTAACGTTTGCTTTACCTTATTGAGATTAATATCACTGTCCTTAATGTCTCTTAATTAATGTCCTCAGGCAGATTAATGATAAAGAGCGTCACTAGTTTCCACCAACCACCACTCTTGCATTTTTAATGGTACTTCTGTTGTGTTTCTCTATGGGGCTATAGTTTCTATGGTGTGCCTGTAATTTGGCCTTTTGTATGAGTAAGAATGTTGGCAGTCTACTTATCTATTTATGGTATAGCTTTTTTCCCTTCCAAAATTGCTAAAGTGGATTTTCTGTTGTAGTTCTTCTCTGTCCTCTTCGAGCGCATATACTCTATCCGATGCACAGAGAGGTCTTTAAACTGATATCTTACATTTGTTTCGTATATTGGATAAGATCTCTACAAATGCCGATCAATATTTTTCCTTATTTCTAAGTATCAACAGAACTATTCATGTTTGATGAACTTTATGAGCGCACTAGTACTCGACGTTTTCCGCTGGTATAGAGTAGCTCTTTTCCGTGCTCCTTTCGAAGTTCTGCGGACGAGCGCTACCTGGGAGACGCCGTCCCGTCCAGTTTCGCAGCGCATTGATTGGGCTGGGGCTCGTCCTCAGCGGTCATCGATTCGCCATCCAGTTCGGGTGGCGATGTTACCTGTTGTGTTTTGTGCCAGTATATTTAATTGATCAGAGTTTCAGTAAGATAAGATCGATCTCCATGTCGACTGGTGTCTTTTTGAAATCGTTCGGGCTCATCTCTAACCGTAGCAAGTGTTTTTTATGCTTTTTGTCATGTGGTGACCCATTTTTCTCCATTTTTCCCTTACCAATAAGTCCATAATGACTACCTGGTTTGGTTTTTCTCAAGAGGTCCTAAATCAGTCGTTATAACGTGGTTTCTAGCGAACGTCAGAGATCTGCATCAAACTCAGCTTCAGTGGGGAGGTTTTTTTAACTGGAAGATGCCTTTATGGATCGTCTGTACTAGTTAATTGCCTTGAGTTGTGTTGTGTATGAGATTGGACAGTTTACTCATCGTAGAGGACTATATTTCCAGGATGACTGACTGTGCGAGTGAACAGAAATTGCTGAGTGAACTTCGTGTGACCGAGCTGAAGCACGAACTGGAGAAACGAAACTTGGACAAGAACGGAATCAAGATCATTCTCACGGATCGCCTAGAGAAGGTACGAAGTGTTCTGAGCATGAGGATCTATTGTTTCGTTGTTTTTTGTCGGCATGTCTGGTTATTTGACGAATTTTAAAAATAGAAAGACATTAATTTGAAACCATTAGTGTTTCGGTTTTGTGTTTTGTCTACCTCAAGTAATGGATGGTCTTGTCAATGAACAGCTTACGAGAAAGAACCAATCTATGATCCTAACGAAGAAATATTAGGACTTTCTTTAATATCGGGTGGCTACACTTGTATTGCTTACAAACTACAAGACGTTTTGAGATTTGAGGGATTTACACAATGTTCTTTTGCATCGAGTTTACAAAATGAATGGAATTCAATCGAATACCTTTCATATTGGAATGGTCTTTTCTATTTCCTGATAAAGTGGAAATCGGATGAAGCATCGGTGTTTGTACTATTTTTTTTCGGATATCCCGTCTTAACGAGTAGTGCTTGCTTCAGCACATTTACCATTCGTGTCTTTCAAGCTCATTCGTCGTCCATGATGGTGGTTTCCTTCGGATATGGTGATGTTTAGGAAGCTGATTTTATGGTCCAGAATTGTTTCCATTGACGTACACCATGAATATGTGGTCTTGTGGTTTAGGTGGTCGTCCTAACGGACGCTTGCTTTCTTATGGAGTCACTCTACTGTTCATTTTGCCCTCCTGTCCTCTGTTTTTTCATGATATTACTAACCCATCTACGCAGCACGTATATTCTTGTGTATCTCGAAGATAGGTGCCGAATACGTGAGCTGAGCATATCGGGTAGACGTTTTGTGAATGCCAGTTAAATTCCAAAAAGCATTGTTTAAGTGCTTTCTTGTTGATGTTCAATTTGATATGGTTTTAAGTATCAAACCAAGGTGTATAACGGAGCGCTGGATGTGTCACCGCTTCGAGGTGGTGTGCATAGTCTGGGGACCGTTAGTTGGTTAATGGGTTCTCTTTGACACCCTATACTGCTTTGCAGCCTAGTTTCTACTTTATGTTATTCTCGTTATCTCTTGGAAGCGCAAAGTACAAGTGAAATGTGGTCTTCCTAATAGGAGAACCATCTAGTTCTATTTATTCACCTTCGTATCATGAGTTCATACTGTATAAAATTATTACTAAATACACTGTATATTGTATTTTGTTCTGGACTTCAGTGGAAATGGATACCTGCGGCCGTTTCATCCGGTTTTGAAACGATGAGCATGTGTCATGGTATGTATGCTGGCAACATAGTTTTTCTTTCCATACGTTCTTGTTTTAGGTCCCCATGAGACCAAGTGAATCACGTCTAACGCACTAGTTAAAGGTGTCCCGTAATACACACGTGGTTGTTGGTTCGATCCGGCACCCTCGACTCACCAAGCCTTCCATCCCTCCGGTGTCAGCAAACTGGAACCACACTTATATGGGGGGATCGCAGTACTGGCTTAATACGTTGGTAGGCCACCACATGTCACTCACTATGCAAGTCATATATGCATTCAATGACCTCTACAACTCTTGATCGAGTAGAAGACATGTGAGGGGTTCTCAGTGGCTTAGATGAATGTCGAGAGTTTTATACTTTATTTAATCTTTATTAGGCAGATAGTGCATATTGTCTCAAACACAACCTGAAAGAGAAGTGGAAGGATCATATGTAGCAAAAATTTTAGGGTAAAACTTACTAGGCGGGTTAAAATGTGGATACTTGCCCGTTATCACAGCTCATCCATATCCCCTCACTTCTTTCATTCCTGTCCATTCGTAATACAGCTGGTTGGTAATTTATTGTTTTCTTGATGGCTATTATTGTACAATTTATTTAAATTTTTGATGTTTCAGCGGATTTTCCTTTTTTTTGGTGGCTGGGAAGGTCAATTTGAGTGCAAACTTGTTAGCCGAACAATTCCGTAACCTTAACGGAAAAACCGGAAAGCTGAATATCAGTCGCATTGGAAACAATTTCTTCAAACACTTAGTGTTCTACTTTTTCTTGTTATTAGTAGAGATCAACATTGCAGAGATCATAAGGATATTTAGCGCTCGGTTTGAGGTATTGTGTGAGATCAAGTGCGGCAACAAGGCATTTATCTTCGGTGTTCGTTTTTAGATTTTTGGAATTTTTCCGTAGTGTTTCGACTTTCTCCGATGTGTTCCCGTGTCCTATACGCGCTAAGTGGAGTATTTTCTTTATGTTTACCACTTACCTGTTCATTTGTTCAGACACAGAGTGGTCTATCCATTTTTCCGATGTATTCGAGTCTTTACCCTTTGCTACGTACACTGTATCTGAGCTCGTGCTACAACCGCGTCTACCGTTAGGGCAAATTTGTATTGCTGAAGGATCGTCATACTAGCGGTTACGAACTAGTTGGCATCTTAGAGTATTCGTTAGTATATCAATCACTGCTACCAGTTTCTCCGAACTGACCTTTTTTAAGCGTTTTATAATAATGGTGATTGCCTGAATATGTTGTTTCTAGTGCGATTGAAATTTAGGTTCGGGGTTTTCTGATAAGGTTTTGGAAGTTGGTTAATTAGTTTGCAATCAATTTGACTTTGTCGTACTCTGAAGAAAGGGAAATCCGTCGAAACATCCGCTATTGTAAGTAAATAGTATAATAACAAAATCATGTCTCTCTATGAAGAGAACAGTGAATTATTGAACAGTACCGAGGCTAATAGAAGCTCGCTTTGTAGGGATTGCAGCCAATTAGTTTCCCTAACACACACATCGTCCTAAAAGCCATGTTGGTCTCGTTGGAGTCCTTTCTGTCCTTCTTTTCATTCTTCTGTCGTCAACTATTATATTACTGGCGTACATATATATATATATATATATATATATATATATATATGTGTATGTCGCCTTTGAAGAAAATGCCAAGGTACTCAAAGGTAAAATGACATTCTAAGGTTCTAACTGCGCAGTGTGGGTTCATTTTGTATGCGCTGCTACACTTAAGGAAACATCGTCCAAGTGTGTAGTAAGCAGAATTCTTGACGTGGTTACCTTCTCAACTCACGTCTGTGTTAGTAAACAGTGGTGGGAGGAATGTTGAGTAAAAATGGTGAGCGATGAGTTTTTTGTATAATGGTGGTTTCTTTGAGTAGCCCAAACACTACGCTCCTTCTTCGTGTCGTTTCACATTTGAACTCCCAAAATACATATATGATGACTTCTGTAATCAAAGAACGGTAAAGTGAGATTTGGCTACTTTTTTGGGAGGGGTTTGCAGGACACAAGAAAAGAAATAGAATAGTAGCAACGAGAGTCCTATCGGACGTCATTTTGAGCAGAATGGCGCTGCATGTAATCATCCACATAGGTGGGATCTTTCTGTTTCGGAAACACGATGTCATAAGCGTTGCAAAAACACATGTAGTTCGTGGCTTCCAACGCGAATTCGCGGCTGTAGTGTTGCGTGGTATTGGAGCTCCTCTTTTGGTTGAATAAACGAAGTGCAAATGTTCCAATTCTGTCCATTTGCCGTGCTGCTCTAGTTCAATGGTACCTTCTTGATCTGAGAATTTGAGAAACATCTTTGTGACTCTTCTCATTCAGGTTCTTTGTCAAAAAATCTTACTAATAGATCTTTTGTCGCAGTGTTCTGCGTTTAACACATTAGCTAACTCCTGTTTATTTATGCCTTGTTGAGCCTGAGGCGTGGGATCGAATCTGTGTGTATTGCAAGCGCCTCTGACCACTGCATTACACGCGACGTATATTGCATATTTGTATATGTATGTGTACATTTATATGTGTATTTGTATAGATATAGATTTGTATACACATGTATATGTACACACATGTGTACATGTACATATATGCACACGTATATGCATGAACATATACATGAATATATATGTATATATATATATATTATACTTATACATACTGTATTATACTCATGCATACTTATACATATGTATGCATATATATATATATATATGTATATATTTCAGGCTCTGATTGCTGATGGGCATGATCCGACGACATATTTGTTTCGTATAAATGAACCCGTTGGAGCATCACCTAAAAGTACTAAACAAATGTCACCAACTAATTCAATGGATAATTCCGCTGATATTGAAATGAACACCCTAGAACCAGCTTGTACGTTTTCAGTTCTTGAGCTTTTGTTTCATATGTTTTGTAAAGTATTTTTTTGTGTAGAATTGTTTATTGCTAAATGAGGTAAACACTGACGAACGAAGTATTAGGTGGGCCTTATGGCTTCATTGAATTGATGTACATGATTTGATTGACTTCGTTAAATTACATTCAATAGCAAGGACGTATTTTATTGCTGTTGTGGGATTGCTCAAATGATTTTACCTTTAGTTGAAAATGGGAACGGCGTTGCAAAAGGTGATCATAACGAGGAGGCACTCCAAATGGATACCGAAGCAGCGCAGCTGGCAACTAACAGTGACATTGAGAAAGCAGATAACATGTGTGACAATGCTAAAGAGCTAATCACAGCTGATGAGCTTGCACCAGCAGCGTTTTTGACGACGAACGACGAGGAGATGCTAGAAGATCCGCTCGCTGACGTTCCTGCCGAGAGCACGACACCATCTGCTAAACTAGCGGTTACCATTTCAGCTCAGCTTCCAGCTAAAACACCAGTGCAGGCTCCACTTCCCGATGAGAAAGAGAACGACATCGCAGCGCGTTCGATTTGGGTTCGTGGTCTCACTTCTGCTACTAAAGCTGCTGATCTCAAGGTTCGAATCAGTGTCTTGCGAGTATAGTTTGTGCGTTTCCTTATCACGAGGTTCCAGTGTAACCGATGTGAGTGTCGTTACCTTCGTTTACAGGTGTTATGTACACAGTATGGCAAAGTTGTGCGTGCGAAAATTTACACCTCGAAGAAGCAGTCGACGTCGGCATGTTATGGATATGTGACGATGGCCGACACTGCAGCTGCTGAGAGAGCAGCAGCCGCTATGCATAAGACACAGATCAGAGGACGCACAATCTCCGTCGAGAAGGTAGAGCATTCATTACGTGCTGGATTCGGTGGTGAATCGTGCAAGATATTCGAGTTGATTGAGCAGCGAGCAAGTTGAAATCAAATCGTGAATGATTTCTATTCATTGATAATCGGATTCGTCAAGGCTCATAATCTTAGCATCTACCCATGTGACTTTATGGACGATTTGTTTTCTGCTGCCGATTAATGTTTGTTTTAATGGTTTCGTTACAACGTGTTTAGGCAGATAGATCGAAAGTTCCTGCCGTTAAACCTACAGCCGCGACTCCGATGAAGAAAGATGCGAGCAACGAGTCACCAGCTAAACGTGATTCTGAGAAAAAGCTAACAGTTGATGGTTCTAAGAATAAAGCAGAAGTGGTCACTGAGAAATGTCAAAGTGCCGATGCGAAAACAAAAAGCGCAGGTTCTTCGACATCAGCTCTATCAAAGCGTGACAATTCGCGGAGTGACAGAAAGAGAGACGACAAAGAGAGACAACGTTCTTCAAACAACGAAAGACGCGACAGTGGTACGCTACGCATTTTGGCATACGCATAGGTTGCAGGCTTGAGTCGAGCGAGGAATTTTTCTCTACGAGACTTCAGATGCGATCAAAACCTTGTGGTTCAATGTTTTTCAGTAATTGTTTTGTTTCAGAGAAACTGTCGAAGTCGTCAGTTGGGAGGCGTGATTTCTCACGAAGAGTGGTTGCTCGGGATCCACGACGTGATTCTCAGAGAACTATATCCGCTGCTCGGCGGTATCCTCTTACGCGCGGTATCACGTCGCACACTCTCCGGGGACGAATTACGCGACCTGGCGAACGGGGAGGTTATGTGTCGTCAATCCGTCGTCCAGAGGCAATGAGTCAGCGCGACCTGCTCACGTTGATGCGTCGTAAGGAAGAAGAGCACCGTCGTAGAGAGGCTGAGATCGAAAAAGAACGTGCACTAGAGAGAGAGCGCGAGAGGATCCGTTTTGAGCGTGAGCAACTCGAAAAGGAGCGCTTGCAACTTCAGCTACAAGCAGCGCTACAACAACAGAAAATGGTTGCCATGAGCTCTTCACGCACCAAAGATTCGTATGCACCCCGTTCATCAAGCAGGTAAGCAACAGTCATTCTTACTGCAATAATGACTGTTCCAAGTCGACAGTAGTTCCATAGATCCCGAACTTTTTGTTTTGGAATTTTGTGTAGAATATTCTAAGCCTTTGTGTATTCCATTATATCAGAACCGTATTACGAAATGGCTTAAATTCCCACGTTTACGTGTTGTTTGAGGACCATAACTTTTAAATTACAAAGTTGTTTTGCTTACTGTTTATCGACAACAGGAGTCGCCATAGTGAGTACCGCTCATCTCGCGATGGAAGAGGAGATAAACTTAGTTCTCCATCACCACGTCATCGTTCATCAGGTGAAAGTCGTAGATCTCTAACCGAATCGCATTCACGTCATGTAGGCAGTAACGATAGGTTAGTTTTTTTTCGCAAGTTATCTATTCACTGACGCTTTTCATAACTTCATTAAGTGTTCCAAATTTAGATCATCTTCGTCTAGAGTGGAACGTGATCGTTCTGAACATAAATCAAGTGCCGCAACTAGTGAGTATTTTCATCTTTAAAACACCGCTCACTCGTCTGGCTTTTTAAGTGAACTGCTATTTATAGGTCGAGGACGAAGTCGACATGATTCTTACAGTTCTCCACGCCGACATGGCTCATCACAGCCTGCAACATACTCATCGGGAAAGGAATACGAGAGAGGGTACTCTTCGTCACGGTGAGTTTTTGTGACAGGATATCTCACTAAAACCTCCTTTCTTTATTCCAGTGGTGGTCACTCATTCAGTGGAAGAGGAAACTCATATTTTGGTAATAGCAGAGATGCGTATAGCTCTACTACAAGTTAGTCTTCTATTGGTTTTAGAAATGTTTATTAGTTCAAGAATTATCTCTTAAGGTCGTATTGGAAGTAGTACTGGTTGGGGATCGTCTTCAGGGGCAGGCTTCGGTTCGTCGTCTGCGTGGGAAAGAAATGGAGGAGCAACAGTGAGTCATTCTGGAGGCGGATCAGCTTGGAGTGGAAGAGGAGGAGGTGGTGAGTGCATTTTGAGCGCTTTGCGGTACAGTCGCCAATAGCGGGAGCTGTATTAGGAATCATAGATACCATTTCTATGTAATAGTGATGAATTACACTTCAGTTTCTTTTCGGGTTGTGAGGGGAGGGAAGGGAGTGGTTGGGGGGCGGGGGTGAAATTATTTTACACACTAAAATTTTTGTATATGTATGTATTTATATGTATATATATACATGTGAGTATATAATATTGCTTTGAACATAGGTTGTTCTATAGGAAGTGGGGGATGGTCGACATTTGGCAGTGGTGGAGGAGCTTCGACAAGCGGTGGTATGCGATATGATTACGACAAATATCAGCAACGCTTCTGAATTTGAAATGATTGAAATGATACTATGGTGGTGATTATAACTTTTAGTGTTTCGTGTTGTTGGGTTTTGAACTCACGTTCTCTGTACGCTTTGTGTATTTCTTTGTGTTCAATTTTCCATCGTTTTGCAACCTAAATATTCGTTTCCTAATTGTTTTTGTTGTCCACTTTAATTAGTCTGGTGGAAAGCATCTTTATACCCTGAGTATGTTAAGATTGAAATTGCAGTAAACAGTGAGATCTACGGTGAATGCAAAAGTCTGTTTTTATTTACTTCGTTTCCCATTCTCTAAGATTTTGTGCACAAGAAGTAGATAAACTCGTGCAGTGTGCACTCTGTTCCATAGACATGAATTTTGCTTCATGGTCTTGGTTACATAACAATTGTGGCGTTCGTATTATCACGCTCAATAAACCGTAGGGAGCTTACGGGCCAACATGCCGCGAATTGCTCATCAAGAAATGAAGAAAAATAGGTTAGTGAGAGCTACGCTGAGTAATAGCTCATTGTGCGTGATATTGCCTACAGGGGTGTACCTTTGCGCAGTTTCAAACTGTGTGCATGGATGCTGTTCATAAGGTGGTTTTTTCTTTTGACTTTATCGTGATGCTGGGTCGCGCATCATTGATGAAGTAGGCATCCAGAGAACAGTGAGAGGGTGTTGTTACCTTTTTGGTCCACTCGTTGATGCGTTTTTGGGTTATGGGTTTAGGGTGATTAACGCACTTTGAGTTGACACTGATGTTGGCGTCTTCGGTGTCCTGCCAAGCGTGGTAGCGCAGATGGATGCTGCGTTGTCTTGTCAGAGATGTCCAACTTCTTTTTCAAATTATTGTGATGCAAAATTTACACACTGGTGATATTGAGCATCGTTAATGCATTATGAACAGAAGAATACGCTTTGGGGTAGAGCTCTACACTACAGTTCCAGGTTAGAATGCACGAAAACCGGCAGCCACCTTGTGGCGATAAAGTGGGTGCGCCTTAGAAGAACTGTTGCAGAGTTTCACAAGGAATGAGTTCTACCAACATTCAGCGACATTTATAAGGCTGTGAGCTTCATATGGTTGCTGAGCCTGGCCACAAATTCGGAACCTAGCGGTTGATGGGTGCAAGACAACGACACGAATGAAAGAGGTTTTGAGCAAGGGGAATATTTGAAGTTTGAGCATATAAATTGGTTGACTAATTATGAAGTAACGAAGTAGTCTTAACTCTTTTATTTACTGCCTTTTTCTTTTTAATGGCAGGGTATGTTGCGAAATATAACTCGTATGTAATGCTGAGATATTTGCAGAACTCCGTACCGCAGGTGTATGCGGTGGCGAACGAACGCGCGCTATTGTCCTTACCTGGGAGTGGCGCACTTCGCCACCACACCATCCGGGTCCTTCGTTTTGTCTGTCTCTCAGCTAGTTTTATTGATGTTTTGCCATCAGCAATTACCCGTCAACGGGATTGATCTGGGGAGCCCAAATCGGCATTGAACGCAGTTAAGCTGAGGCTTAGTTATAATTACAATCTTAACCCTTTTATTTACTGCCTTTTTCTTTTTAATGGCAGGGTATATAGTGTTCAGTGTTAAAGAAACGATAGGCGAGAGTACCGTATTGGTCTCATGGCAGAGGGGATAAGCTTCACTACATTATTCAAGATCAAAAGGTGGCGAAAGTTTCCGCATTTTATTCTCTAATTTTAGGTAAAATTAGAGACGTGGTACAAAAAAAAGTGGCGATCGAGCGTTGTGTCCTTCACAGAATAGTTTTTTCGACAATTTAAAGGTCACAAAATTTGATGATTTGGTGGACAGAACAGAAGTTTTCACTGGCCGGTGGCTGAACATGGGGTTATGCATGCTACACTATAGTAGGATCCAATGACGTTGTCGAATTGTTGGTGTGCTTGGCTGGAAAGTGGACCGTTTTGGGCAATCCTTCAAACAGACTCTTACATTTGCTTGGAGTTCGTTCAAAGTTCTTTTCATCCACCTGTCATCTGTTCTTCGTATTGTTTGCTGAATACTCTCTGGTATATGTATATGCGAGGCGGTTAGCAGTCGTTTCCAACAAGTAATCTTCATGTCCACTCTGGGAAGATTGGCAAGCTACCCGTGTGTATACCCAGCCTCACGTTCAGAGCACACCAAATACGTGGATATCATAAACCTAAAACAGTAAAAGAAACGAGCTTCATTCCTCTGACCCTGAGTGAGCCCCAAATTTCGCAGTTCGGTAGGACGAGTACGGAGAGGCTGATAAAATCTCAGGGCCAATGGAAGTTGCCTGGATTACAAAGAACTATGGTGACGATCTGTACCTACAATGCACGTACACTTGCATCCGAGTCCTCGATAGAAGACTTGCTCATGCAAGCAAGAAGGATAAAGTACGATGTCATCGGCCTGGCCGAAACGAGAAGACGCCACTCATTCAACGCCATCTATGACACCGGAGAGGAACTGTTCCTCGGAACATGCTACAGTAGAGGAGTCGGTGACCTCGGCGTTTTCGTCAACACAAGTTTGTCCATGAACATCGATTCATTCGAACAACTTACAACCTGAATCGGACGTTTACGATTAGGAAGATGTGGATCAATACCGGCTTTGACAATTTTCGTCGTCTACGCGCCAACATCAAACTATGACGAAGAAGAGGTCGAAGCGTTCTATATGTACTTGAAGAAGCTCAACAGAGAAGGCCATACATTCTTCATGATCATCATTGAGATTTCAATGCCAAGACTCGACCGAGAGGAACGTCATGATTGTACCCGATTAGAATGAAGCGAACAGGGTGAGCTGCTGTATGAGTTTATCATGACGACCAAGATCATCCATGGTAACTCGCAATTCCAGAAGCCCCACTCTCAACGCTGGACGTGGGGGTCTCCTAGTGGAGAGGACCATAACGAAATAGAGGGATCAGGCCACCGCCTCCTTCATACAAGATTCCGTTTCTCGTAGAAAAGCGAAAAAGCCGCTAGATTCAAAAAACGAAGCCCCAAAACCATCATGAACTGGGATTTATTCAATTCACTAATCGGAGGCTAGGAGGATCCGTTGTAGACAACATCGACGAGGAATACGATCGGCTCATTCAACATTTTAACCTTAGTGCTATGTAAGTTGAGAGTTCGAAAGTCACCAAGAGACGTCTGTCTCCATAAACACTAGAGCTGATACGCCAGCATAAAATCGCACGAGCAACAGGCAACCGCGAACTAACGTCCGAACTCGTAAACAATGCAGACGGGCGATAAAAGAAGATCTCGAGAAGAAAGAGGATCAGCACTTATGGTCGAAGCTGCAGAGGTTGGAAAAACATTCGCAAAGCCCATCGAATCTTCGCCAATTAGCAAAACCACCTCCCGTCATGTGAAATAAAGGAGGATGAATATGTTGTACCACCGGTTCTCCCTTCCGAAATCCGACATGCTATTTCGTCGGTGAAAATCGAACAGCACCAAGTCCGGATAGGATAAGACCAGAACACCTGAAGAACCTTCCACCAGTCCTCGTAAACACACTGGTTTGGCTCTTCACACGTTACCTGTCTGAATGTATGGTCCCTACTCACTGGAAGACCAGCAAGACCGTGTTATCGCTTAAGAAAGGTGACCTACACTATATCGGCAACTATCGCCCAACCCGTTTGCTGTCTGTCGTCTGCAAACTCTTAACTCGAGTCCTCCTAAACAGGATTGACAGAACACTGGACGAAAACAGCCATGTGAGCAAGCAGGGTTTCGAAAAGGATTTAGTACGACGGACCACATCCACACGATAACAAGACTCATTGTAGTACCCAGGATCGAGTTTCTATTAACCTCGGCAATGGATTATAAATTCGTTATTTTCTCTCTCAGAAATCGGGAGGTTGTTAAACAGCATGCATTTATTTCCATACAATAACACGCATACGACACAATCGTAGCTGATGTTTCGGCAGAAACGCTGTGCTAATTGGCCAATGGATTAGAGAGTTGGTCGGATTTGTTTTTTGTCCGCCAACTGTACCTGGAATGGTCGACTTTGTATGAATTCGCCACACGGGACTTTTTTCTGTAGCTGCCGTGGACAACCTCGAGTTTGGATTATAACAATTTATAGCAATGACAACGGTACAACAATAATGGGTAATATGTGACGATATGTGGTTTGCTAGATATATACGAACGAGATTGAAATGAGAACAAGTGATACAACTGAAGGAAGCTAGGCGGACACTAGAGTTGGAGCACTGAGAAACTGAGGGGCTCGATGAAGACCGGACGAATGTTGCGAACACTTGACATGAATGTTGATGGGCTGCTTGTATTACTTGTGGGTGGAGCTTTGCCAAAGGGAACTAAAGACAGCGCGTAGAGAGAGGTTCTAAAAATTTTTCTACTAGCACAATTTGATAGAGCTACATGTGGAAGGGTGCAGATATTTGTTCGGAAACTTTTTTAGGACGGCAGATGCGGAAAAATACATTCAGCTGACTGCTGCTGATTCCCTTTCCAGCCACCTGCGAGGAAATTGCATGAAATCGTTAAGAGCCAATTTACAAAATATGCAAGAATAGATGTATTACGATTACAAGCTGTTGTACAGTGTTGTAGAAGACATAAGGTGACTTAAAAATAGGAACTATTTAAGAATGGTTACTATACTCCTCACCGCGACTTAAGATAATGGCACGGAGTATGGTTTTAAGCCTAGCAACTGTTCTACAGCTGGAACAAAATCTACAGTGAGTGGTTGTGCCCTTGAGAGAAAACAATTACAGGAGAGCTGAACCGAAATAGCTGTAGGACAGAGAGCAAAATGTTTATGAGGTGAAGAATGTGCATGTGAAGGGGATAGAAATGGGAACGATCCTCGGCTTGTGGAATTGGTTTTTTGCTGCCAGTTGTGCGAAGACGTGCGTTTGCTGCGACGTTGGAGGAAATCTCTTCTGGCCTGTTTCTGCAATCACTGTCGTGGTTGCACGAAGACTATGAATAGATGCAGCATGCACGCAGAATATAGCAGAATTGAGTAGTTGCAGC